CTACACCCCGTTTTCCCTAGGGACAACGTGATTCCATGTGCTCAGCCATGCCATAAAGGTGGGACCCTCACTTCTGAGCTCCGCAGTGGATTTTTAAACAACAAGCTCACTGAGAGCTGTTCTGTATCTGACACCACAACCCAAAAAAGACCTAATGTTGGGTGGGACTGAAGCTCCCTGTAGCTGCCAACCCAGGCACATCCCATGATGCGGCCTTCAGGGCTGCAGTCTTGGGCTCTCCCCTTCCTCTTCACAGGACCCTGCACCCTGCAGCCAAAGACACACAGGAGGGCGACAAAGTCTTGAGACCCCAGACTCCTCACAGCAGGGTTCACTCCACCGCCCTGTGCACCCAGGACTGTGAGCCGAGCCCAGCATCACCGGAACTCAGCACCCACCAAGCTCATGGGGAAGCCGGGCCTCCCCGGGCTCTGAGCCCACAGAGCGCTCAGCAAGGACCTGGGCCTCTCCTGGGCGGGTTTTCTCCACAGTGATGCTTCTCCTTCTCAAGGTGGCACCTGCTGGATCTGCACAGGGTGGGACTGTGTTGAACACCCCAGAGTCCCTTAGTGATCCTCAGCCTCCCGAGACTCCATTAGTGACGTCAGACGTGCGTGGACAAGAGCCACACTCAAGTTCTCAACGCTGGTGGCTAAACATTCTGAAAGTCTCCCGAAATAGACCTGAAGTGTTCGATGGGGATGACCACTCCACTCTTTCTGTAAATTGTGCAATAAAATTTTACACTGATGAAGTGTGTTCTGTATCTGAGCTCTCAAATAAGCCAGTGCCTAGTGATGGATACCCCTTACATTAAAATCACAAGAAGTAAACAAAAGCTAAAATTCAGCTTAGGGCCCACATCTGCCAGAACTCAGGTGATCACAGGCCACAGGGGGGTGGAGGTTGTGATGTGGAAAAACAGAAATTCTGCCCTTTTCCTTTGCGGCAACTTGCCTCCTGCTTAGGCTGATGGTGGGAATTTAGAATCACAGGTCCATTCTGTCACGGAGCTGGACCTCACGTGAGAGACTCACAGGCCATGATAGTGACATCAATGGCAAGATGACTTTGCTGGTGTCAGGTAACAAGCAGAATCCCTCCTGCCATGCCTCCTGCCCTCCCGCCCTCCTGGAAATTGCTGGTGCAGAGACTCTGCCCAAGTGCTGAGACTGTGAACCTGTCCTCGAGCCCAGAGTCCTGTGGACAAGAAGCCATGGCCACTCTCTGCTCAGCGTACTCTCTGGGAGCGGTTTCTGTTGACCGGCCCAGGGCACCTTCATCCCTCTTCTTCCCTGCAATCACTATCTATGCAGAACAAGCCCTAGCCCGCTATTCTAAACTAGGGATTCCACAGTTGTTGGAATTAGCACATGATGTTCCTTCACAAGGAATCCCCGTATTTCTGGGGCAGCTCAGTGTGGACACGCAGTTTCACAAGAGCACCCTCATCTCTCAGCCTCAGTTAGGAGGTCTGTGGACCCCACAGTGTCTGTGGCACACGGTGCACAATTCCCTGCTTAGTACCCAGTCACCCCGGCCTCTCCTGCCTGGGACATCAGTGCTCTGAGGCAGAGGTGATTCCCATTCACCTCTCCCAGCCAGGGTCCTCCGAGGATCCTGGCCACAGAAGGCTTCAGCAACACGTGCCTGGGGAAGGATGTTGATATCCTACCCCAACAGGAAGACTATCTGAACCCGTGGCCTGTGGAGGACCACCTAGGCGACTCTCCTTGAAAGAGAAGCAATTGCCTCCATTTGGGCTGAGCCTGAGCCTATTTCCCTGTATTGATATGTACAGAGCCGGCTAGGACCCCCTTCTTATCCCTTCAGTTGGCGTTAAGCAGTGGGTACCAGTCTAGCTGAGGTGCTGATGGTAGTCTTTGGTAATGGCGGGCGTGTTTCCCCGGACCCTTCCATTGCTCCCTGGAGTGAGCTGGGATGAGGCGGGATGTGTGAGCCAGTGCTCGACGCTGTCAGCTGGGATCGAGCATTGGGATAGAGGCTATGACTTCCTGGGGCTTCAAAGATTACACATCAGAGCGGAAGCACTGACCCCAAATCATTAGATACTATCTCAATTATGTTATGTAGATTACTCTTTCTGTATAATCTTCTCTCTGCATATGGCAGAAGTGATTTCAGGCCTCCTACCTAGCCCGGCTTGTGACACTCACCTACTTCCCATAATTCTCACAGTCATTCACCCACAAGCCACTCCTTTCTTTATGAATGAATGAAACCTGGGTTCGGCCTTGTGTCGAGGCCTTTGTTCCACATGGCTATCACTGTCGCTGGACTTAGGATCCCCTTGGCTCCCCATAACTACAAATATGCCTTAGCATCTTTATTCTTGCCGTGGGTTGCACTGGAAGTGGTAGATTGGAATTAACTTTCTAGAATTCCAATAACTCTTCGTGGGATCACACATATAAACTTCCTGGGCCACGACAAAGACAGAGGAGGGATCTTTATAGTGGATAGTCACACTCTGTGTCCCTGGGGCAGTAAGGGGACGGCACTTCCTCTGCTGGCTGAGGTGGGGGCTGAGGGGCACACTGCTCAGTGGGCTGAGAGGTTCCACAGACACCGAGGGCCTGGTGCGTGCAGGACCCACCCTCGCTGCCGGACACACACAGCCCGTGCTGCAGCGGGACGGGGTGAGGAGGTACAGACAGACGTCCACACCCTTTCTCTCCCGGGCACTGCGTGCAGCCAGGCCTGGTGCAGCTCACCTGGTGCTAAGAGGAGGCTGCACCAGCAGCAAATCCTCTTAGCTTTGTGGTATAACACAACCTACCTGTCAGAGTTACAGACTGTGGGTTTTCTTTTTCAAGGGTGATTAAAAACAAATTACAAATCGGGTCTTAAATAAACTTTTCATATTTTTGTGCTCCACATTTCCACAATGTACTCAAATGTGGCTGCAAACCAAAACCTGTTAACCAATTTCCCACCAGTAGAAGTTTTGTAACTGTTCTCTTCCACCCTTTAAGCAACGATCTCCTGACCCTAAAATACAGTGGTAAGAACTATTTGGGAAGGGAATTCTCTTCACAGCCTCTTTCAGTGTTGTCTGTAGGTTCTTTTCCCTGAGATTCCCAATGCATTCTTTTGATCCCATATGAGTTTTTTCTTAGTATTTCTGGAGTACTTTAAATTCTCAGGAGACACAAGATGTTTAAATTTTAGTTTGGCAAAAAGACAACAGTTCCCCAAACTATTGAACAAGCTGCCTTTAACCCACTTCCCGAGACAGTCCTTGTTTCCATCTGAAGCCTCGTGAGCACAGCACTCACTGTCTGCATTTCTGTCAGCGTCTGATGCTCTAAGCTCTCACCAGCATCCCAGGTAAACTCCCCAGCAGGCTCCAGGCTGCTCCTGCCCGCTGCTCCCCACTTTTCCAAATTCCACTCCTAGACCAGTTCCAGAGCCCCGCCCAGTGGCGCCCATAGCTCACGTGACTGGGGGCTATTCCTGATCCCTCCACACAGTGAAGCCGCTCCCATTTCATGTTCAACTGCTGCTTCCCCGTGCTCTGCTCACACTGCTCTGTGTTGCAGGACAGGTCTGCTAGGGCCTTCAGGTAGCACTGGACCGTGTGGAACACGGGGACCATGGCCCAGCTCTGTCCTTACACTTCCTGGCGTGAGGACACCGAGCCTCCTGTCGGGGAGCAGTCAGCATGCACACCTCACTGCCTCACAGGGTCTCACAGTCACCAGCTCCTGTGAGCTCTACCCACTGTCCCGGTGAGCAGAGGCTATTCGCACTCCGAGGACAGTGACCCTGCCTGGGGCAGCTCAGAGGGAGCCTCACTGCTCCGCGTTCTCTCAGCGCTGTTACCTTTCACGGTGCTTTCTTCACGCAGGACAAGGACGTGCTCACAACCCCCCAGGCCCTGTGACTTGGAGAGTGTTTTTCTCTATGCTGTATTGACTCCTGCAGCCTTCTCTTTCTCCATAGGTCCAACACAGGCCTCTGGGCAGGCTGAGCATCTCTACCCCAGGTCAAGCCCTTAGCCCTGGAGGGAGCACATGAGGGAACAGCAGGAGCAGCCACTTTCCCTGGATGTGCACACCCCCGCCTGTCACTGTCACCCAACACAGGGAGCACTCTGACGGTAAAGCACACAGGGAAGGAAAGACCTACACGTGGGGCACGGCCTGCCACCGCCTATTCATGCCGGGCTGCACGCTCTTCAGCCACAGCCAGGGCCCCCAGAGCAGGGAAGCCCAGCAGAGTTCTCAGCCCCATAACACAGGGTGTGAACAGCTGCGGTGACTTTCTCTGGAGCAGGTGACAGGAGTCATCCCTCAAATTCCTAAAGGAAAAATATGAAAATGAGAACTGGGAATCAGAGCACAGGAAGGAGCGCATATTTACTTCAGCTGCTAGATCAGTCAGTGTGCTGTTACTGTAGGGAAATACTCGAGACAGTGGCGTAGAAAGAGGAAACACTGACATGGGCAGAGGTCCCTCCACACACCCCCCCCCCCCGTTCCTGCACAACGAGCCATCAGACGCTGGGTCTCCATGCAAGGTCTCCTTCTCAGAATGCAGCCATGTACACCTCTAGACCAGGAGGTATTTCTGCAGTCTAGGAAAACTCTCTTAAGTAAACACTCATTTGAAAATGGCCCAGGAGTGACCCTCCAGGGAGGCTCTCAGGAAATGAGTGTCCTGGTTGGAGTCCAGCTTCTGAGGCCATCAAGGACAGAACCCAGGTCCTTCCTTTAGTGACTGGGGCTCTTGCTATGTGGAAAGGTCTGGGACCAAGGGAGAGCTCAGACCTGGGCTGAGATTTCTCCAGGGAGCTTCGGATCCTGAGCTTGCAGAAGCCAGATTCCAATGCTGGGAGGGGCTGTGCCTTTTTGGTGGGTCCACAGAGGCGGGGACCCTGAGGCGGTGCTGTCTCCAACTTTCCACTTCCGTTCATCTGCGCGTCCTGCAGCGCTGAGGTCTCCTCTCTCAGAGCGGGAGCAGTCAGAGTAGGCGACATGAAGCCTACCGTGCCCGTTCTGCTGTGCCTGGGTCAGTGCTGGGAGGAGGAGGGGACCAGGCTGGGGCGGAGAGGGGGGAATCAGCTGAGGCACCAGATGGAACCTCTGACAGCACAGAAAACTCTCTTCCAGGGCTGAGTCTGCCAATGGGGCTGCAAGGACCCGCAGGTGAGTCCTCCCCAGGCCCCGTGTCCTGCCCCATCCTCAGCCCCTGGGCCTCACTGGGGAGACACAGGCTTGGGCTGAGGGTGAGGAACTGGGAGAGGCCTTGGAGTGATGTAGGGCACGGAGAAGGACCTGGGCTCAGCCTCTGACTTCCTTGCAGCGACCCTCCCCAAACCCAGGCTCCTGGTCGAGCCGAACTCTGTGATCCCCTGGGGGAGTTCTGTGAGCATCTGGTGTGAGGGGATGCTGGGGGTCCAGAAGTACCATCTGTACAGAGAAGAAAGATCAAGGACCTTGGAACCATCAATCCTACTCCCAACAAGGCCGAGTTCCCCATCTCATCCCTGACAAAAGATGATGCAGGGCGATATCGCTGCTCCTATCACAGCCCTGCTGGCTGGTCAAACCACAGTGACCCACTGGAGCTGGTGGTGACAGGTGAGAGGACACTCAGGGTCCCAGCCCCAGGCTCTGCCCTCAGGAAGGGGTCTGCTCTCAGGGGTGCCCCCCTCTCACAGCCCAGCCCTGGGCGCAGTGCGGGAGGTGTGAGTCCATTTCACACGCTGCCTCCTTCTCTCCTAGGAGTCTCCAGCAAACCCAGCCTCACAGCCCTGCCCAGCCCTGAGGTGACCTCAGGAGACAAGGTGACCCTCCAGTGTAGCACGAGGCAACAATTTGACAGGTTCATTCTGACCAAGGAAGGAGAAGACAAGCTCTCGTGGACCCTGGCCTCAGGGCGACTTCCCAATGGAACGTTCCAGGCCCTGTTCCCTGTGGGCCCCGTGAATACAGGACAAAGATGGACACTGAGATGCTACGGCTATTACAGAAGAAGTCCCCAGGTGTGGTCCACAGCCAGTGACCCCCTGGAGCTCCTGGGAAAACCCTGTCCCTGTCGTCTCTCAGCTCAGAGTGTCACTCATGCCCTTAATCCTAGGGAATTTTTCTCAGTTGGAGTGAGGAGGACCTAGGGGTTCCAGCTGGGGACGGACAGATCCTTCCTCTAAACCAACAGGGCTCCTCCAAGGAACGCCTTTCCTAGCCCTATGATTTGAATTTAGAAAGTGCCTGTGGGCAGGGAGGGTGTCCAGTAAACCTCAGGGGTAGTTTTCTACAACTCTCAGTGGCAGGGTGCCCGGCGCAGACCTGGACCTCACCTTGTCTTGTCTTCACTGCCAGGATCATCTGGTCCCAGTCCCCCGCCCTCAGGGAGCTCCACACCGTGTTCATCCACAGGATGCTCAGGGGGCCCTGCTTCCTCCACCTCAGCGCCCAACATCTCAGCAGGTGAGTCTCGGCTCTGTCCTGGGTGTCCTGCATCCAGGCTGCCTGGAGGCTGTCAGCCCACCTCGGCCCTCCTTCCAGTCTCAGCTCTGCTTGTGTCCAGAGAGAGGGCTTCAAGTGGAGGTGTGGACAGGACCCGGGCAGGAGAATCTTTCTCTGGTCCGTGATGTTCTCATCTGTAGGCTGCCTGGGTGGGGACGGCAGTGCCATGTCATAGGATTGTGGGAGTTTGAGGTGATGAATGCAAACCCCACACAGGGGAGGGTCATCATTTAAGTGAATCAGTTCCTGATCTGCACGTCACCCCTGGCCAAGGTCCGGGAAGGAACCTGAGCATTCTGACTTGGGTCTCGGTGGCCTTGCTCCCCCTGCTCGCACTCCTTGTGCTCTTGCGACTCCGGCGCCATGGCCGATGCAGGAAGGCAGGTGAGAAGGGAGAGGACGGCCTGGGCTCGCCCCAGGGAGGGGTCAGCAGCCGTGCTTAGGGCCCCGCAAGCCAGAGGAAGCCGTGTCTGACCCTGTGCAGCAGGAGCCACTGCAGATGCAGCGAGGGCTCCATGCGGGTGGCACAGGGTGGCCTCCTTCTTGTCCCCAGGACCCAGCTCTGCTGCCACCTCCCCAGAGGACTGCCACAGACACAGAGAGGTAAATCGTCCTCCCCTGCGTCCACCCGCTCTCATCCCCCAGCGTTAATTTCTCCGTTTTTCCCCACTGTGTAGTTCCCTTGGTTAGATCTGTGCGCTCTGCCTTTAAGACCGTGAGCTTCTGAGGGCAACGACCCTCTTCTCTGTCTCCGCAAAGAGCCTCCCCAAGCTCCTGCAGGCTGGCGCCCAGGGAGTGAGGAGCGGTGTCCCGTCAGCTGGCCTCTGCTCCCTGCAGTCTCCATCGCCAGCCCCACAGGGAGCGCCGTCTCCGCCAGGGTTCACTGTCTGTGAGGCTGCGAGTGTGGCTGGACGGCCACCAGCACCAAGCAGTCTGTGTCCCCAGAGCAGCACAGCGCGCGCACAGACAGACAGAGGTGACGGAGCCCAGGCAGGGCGCAGAGACCCAGGCGGTGCGCAGCGCTGTGAGCGACACAGGGCGGGAAGGGCGGAGAGGCTGGGGAAGAGCAGGGAGGGCCACAGGGAAAGGTGCAGAGCGGACCCTCTGAGCCCGTGTGTCTCAGCAGAGACCTGAACCCAGGACACGCGTGGGACTGTCCAGGGAGCAGCAAATGCCAGGCCCGGTGGGGACACCGCACTTGTCCAGGAGCTGCCTGAGGTCTGCTTCACTGGAATTGACCGATAAAGGACAGGAGTGTCAGTGCCCAGGTGCAGAGCTCTGCAGGTCTCAGTCCCATGCATCGCTCCGTTCATGCAGCTCGTGAAGCCACTGGAAGTTGCTCAGGGAGGGTGCGAGCTGATGCTGTCCCAGCGCTCACTCTGGAGTCCCTGTGGACTGAGCGATGGTGCAGAGCAGAGTCAAGGAGCAGCCTCTGTCCCTCTTCCCTGCTGCAGAGCCCTGAGCACAGGGGCCCCCAGGAAGTGACCCACACCCAGGGGCAGCCTTCCGGACAGACATGTGGCGGGGTCTCCCCTGCTTCCTCCATGGCAAGGCTATTCCTGGACCCGAAGGACAGACTTGCACAAGAGGACAGGCAGAGGGGCAGACAGGTGAGTGCTGTGCCCTGCAGGTCCCCAGGCTGTCCCAGGCTGCACCCGCATTCTGGTCCCCACTCTCACTCCCCCCAGGCAGCTGACTCTGAAGGCCCCCAGGGAGTGGCCAACACCCAGCTGAATGGCTTCAAGCTCAGGGATAGGAGCCCCCGGCTGTGCCCCGCGTGTGATCCCACCTGTTCCTCAACGCGTCCAGGAGAAATCTCAGATCCCACGGTGCAAAGTTGGGCACGTGGGAGCCGCGGGAGAGACCGGAGCTGCCCCATGCACACTCATCCAAGGACCACAGGTAGCCTGGGGGTCCTGCGCGGGACCCTTAGGGATTCTAGACATCACCTGAATCTGTAGTCCAAGGGAGCTACAGCCACACATCTGAATACTTAACAAGTGAGTTTTAAATATAGCTAAGACTCAGCCAAGGAAATCCCAAAGTGCTCAAATTTATTATAAGATTAAAAGCACACGCCAAGCTTATGAAGTACCTATACTTTAGAGTAAATGAAGCCTTAAATAAACAATTTGAAGCAAAAAAACACAAAAATTTCAATAACTTAAGGTTACAGGAAAATGGCATCAATTTTGACAAAGTGAGAAAGTAGGAAATAATGAGCATAGCAAACAATAGTAATTTATATTAAAACAATATGAATGTAAACTCCTTAAAATCTAATAAGGTTAATAAAACCCTGAGTACACTGAAAAAGAAAACAACATTCACAAAAGAAATACAGAGGAACGTGGCAGCCCGTGCAGTTGGGGAGACAATGCTCCCACCAGAAACTCTCCTTCATTTTCATTAGAGGAAAATGACAGCGCAGGACCCCTGGGTTAAACAGGAGGAAACAGCACACCCTGGGGTCTAAAAGTGTGAGCGAGGTGGGGCTGCCCCGAGAATCACGGCTGTGTGAGTAATTTATGTCATCTGCATTTACAGAAAGAAGAAAAACTGTGTTCACCTGAATTGGATCAAGGAAATAATTCTATGGAAAACCAGCAGATGTTCACAATTTCAAATAATAGGATAAGCACTCAATTGATTTGGAAAAAATTTACAAGAATCCTGGAAGAAGCTCCCTACTTACAAAGGAAAACTGGTATCTTTGCCCCAAGAATTAAGGAGGATAAAATGAATTGTGTTATTGGGCTTCTGCTTAGCATCTCTCTAGAGGTCCAGGCAAGGGCACGAAGGCAGGATGATGACGACAAATAGCAACGACAGTGATGGCGGAGACAGCTAAGGAAGGAGCTGAGACCCTTCAGAAATTAAAAAAGTCAGTGTGTGAGGGCAGCCTGACTGTGTACATAGAAAACAGAAACAAAAACCAGGAGGAGGAAGATAATAAACATCCAAATACTGGATGCAAATGAAAACGTGTGACTGCAGACATTGTGGATTCCGGCAAAAGCAGACAGAGCCGATCTGGCAGAGGAAACAAAGGAGCCCCTCAGCCTGTGCTCCCAGGAAGTCCAGGCGGTGAGGACGCGCACACAGGGACGTGTTAGGAAGGGTTTCCGGGGTGGGGAGAGAGACCCTCACAGAGGACTGACAGGATAGAGAGGAAGTTAGACCCAGAGAAAGTAGGGCATCCCCAACTCTCAGGAGGTGATCTAGGACAGTCTCTCAAGAGACCCCGACAAAGGGACAATTCACCGCCAGTGGTGTCTCCAGCAGGGTCCTCGTGTGCAGGACACAGGGAGTTCACTGCAGCCAGGCCGTGCAGGTGCTATCGGGCGTGCGGGGCCTGGGAGGAAAGGTCACAGGGTGGACGGCTCCCGTCCGTGGGCAGAGCAGCACCGGCTCCGGCCACAGCCACCCTTGTGCCACGCAGAGGGCTCTCCCACCGTGCTCTCCTTGGGCAGATCTTTGCGGTGCTGCCAGGTACCCCCGGGGAAGAGAGATCTCAGTGCGCAGCTCCAGTGGTCACAGCGGGGGCCCCATCTGTCCACTGTCCCCGTGTGTGCAGGAAGACAGGTGGCCCTGGGTGCACGGGCGGGCCCACGGCTCCTGCTGTGAGATCCCCCTGAACCAGGACTGCATGTGTCCTACGAGGCTTTCTAGTAGGAGACAGATGTGTCCATTTGGTGCCATTTTACACAGATCACCTAAAGTCATTATGCCCTAGACCTCAAAACGTGCTAGAGTCCTCCTTGGCCCAGCGTGAAGATTACCCTTGGGATCCAGTGCAGGCACCAGCAAAGCACCGCTCCTCATGCCTGGTGGGAGGGGCTGGTTGCTCCTTCAGTAAGAACCGCACTCCTCTTTTACCGGAGGTCTCTAGACCTGAGGGAAGGTGAGGTTAAATTGGGTGGAGGAGGATCCCTGTCCACTGAAGGAGCTGGTATTCACCTTTTCCTCACTGCACGTAAATCACCAGCACCCTGAGTGACCGTGGGTGTTCGCGCTGCGTTTACCGTGCTCCGTGAGCCATCAACGCCGGCCCGGCGCTCGCGTTTCCCTGGGTGTCACTCCGCGCTGGGCCGAGTTATCAGCCCCCCTGGCTGGAGCAGGTGAGCGCTGTCGCTCGTCCTGGGCCTGCACAGCTTTCAAGTTGGCGTATAGAAGCCTCATCCGCGGGAAGAGAGTCTACATGCGCCTCCCCCTCAGGTCCGGGTGATGACCCCAAAGCCTCAGGCACTCAGAAGTGCGGCTTCGGGGAGGAGCCTGGACCGCGGGCCTGGATCGCGTCTGCGTGACACTGGAGTCGTCGCCGATGGGTTCACAGCTGGGTGTGATGTCGGCAGGGCAGCCTGGTGGGAAGAGGTGGTCACCGTGAGCGTGGGCGGGAAGCTCACGGCCTCCCCACTCCCCGACCCGCCACACCGTGGACTGTTTCTCCTCCCCCACTCCCCCTGCCTTGGGGCCAGCCGACTGTGGCCTGAAACCTCTACAAACTGAGCCAGAATATCCCTTTCCTCCTTTAACTTGGGGGTGTCCAGAACTTTGTCCCAGCAAGACAGCCAGGAAGACAACCACCAGGAGGGGGCAGCAAATCCTCCCCTCTGGGTCTGATGCCTGTGTTGAGTATGCGATGACTGAGCTCCTAGCACCTCTGTCTGAGGACTCAGAATGTCTGACTGACTTAGGTGGAATATCCCACATCCTATTCTCGGGTCAGGGCAACCAGCTACCCATGAACTCGGGGGAAGGCAGCACGCGGCCATGACACCCAGTGTGAAGGCTGGGTGGAGGGTAACCCCCAGCGCAGCCGTGGTGCTGATGGGCTGACAGACATGGGACTGTCCCCTCAGGAATGATGGGGCAAGGAGCTGGGGCGGCACTGCAGGTCGGGTGTGTTTTCTGATGTAATGGATGTCGGGGTGGAGGCTGTAACCATAGACTTTACAAATATAGTTAAATACTGATATTGTTAGAGATTAAACAGCCACTAGATGCTGCCTCTTGACTGGTGGGATCCACGGCCTCAGGAGCAAAAGGGGAGCACACTGAGGGGCCTCCATCACTCTCGACCCCACACAGGAAATGTGCAAGTCCTGAGCCTGACCTTAGGGGATGCTGGGTTAGAAGCCCTCTTAGTGGGAGACTTACCGCTAGAAATTACATTTGCTTTGTTTCTTCATCACAGTAGATTAGTAGTGAGGAAAATGTTTAGTGAAATGCCCTGTGCTGGACAGTTTTCTTTTATGATCATGAGGATTGGGAGCTGAGATAGCTCACCAGGCTCCTTGTCTGGATCTCCCCACAGACGGGTGCTGTGGGCTGAGTCCCACCCCACAGTACACATGTGTCCCGCCGTGGGCTGCAGTCCTCGTGAATGTGAGCTCATGTTGTGAAGGAAAGCACACTGATCATGCGGAATTGAGGAAGTGACACCCCATGGGCTGACATTTTTCTAGCTGTAAATATACCTGAACCTGGATGATATGATCTGAAAATGTAAATTTCAGCACTGTAGATGGACTTCCATTTCTCAGGCATGAGTGTCTGTGATTGTGGACTATGTCTTCCCACCCCGAGCGCCGTGCTGTGGCGAATCCCACCTCACACAAGAAGCCACAGATGAGGAAGAGGTGAGAGAAGGACATGGGGGAGAGGTCACACGAGGGCACTGATGGCCCGGAGCACGCACGCAGGAAGGGTGCACTTCAGAAAGGAACGTGAAAGACAAGGAGACTGGGGGAAAGATCCTTAGTGACACGGAGACCCAGAGAAGGAGGGAGAAGGAGAAGGGAATAAAAGAATTAGGATGTGTTGAATACTCGAATCTACCCAGAAGGTGACTCTACACAGTATTTCCTGCAAACCTGTGCTCATGAAATAATAGTAATAAAAACTCTAAAAACAAAGTCATGGGTAGTTCTCTGTCTCTCTGCCTCTCTCTGTCTCTGTCTCTATCTCTGTCTCTGTCTCTGTCTCTCTCTCTCTGTCTCTCTCTCTCCCCCTCTCTCCTTCCTGGCTGCTGTGAGCCTCTTTCCCTGACCTGTGCTATGAGGTTCCTGTCTCCCCATGGCCCTAAAAGCTGTGGAGCTGGAGACTGTGCCCTGCAATCCCTGAGCTGAGAGTTGAAATCAACCTTCCCTCAGCTAAGATTTTTCAGGCATTTTGTCACAGCGACAAAAATTTAACACATCCACCTTACAAAGAGCACTGAAGGGAGTTCTTCACATTTAGCCTGAAGTTTCTGAATTACAGCACGATTGTGTTCATATTATATGTTTGTGTTTCCTTTAGTGTTCACCCACATTCTTTATTTATTCTAGTTTTACCTTTTAACATGTTTGTCATAGGACATTCTACATGGATTTATACATCTAAAAACTACATACACTGTTTTTAGGAAACCCTGTCATTGCCACCATGTAAAATAGATATGTATATGTCTATATGGATGTGTATGCTGCACTGGTGTTTCACACCATGAGATGATCCCTCCACATGAGATTACAGGGATGATGGGGCACTTGTCCTCTCCTCTTGTCCCGTGTCCTCTCCTCTCCTCCCTTCCCCTTCCCCATCCCTTCCCCTCCCCTCTTCTCTCCTCTCCTCTTCTCTCCAAGCCCCTGGCTTGGTCACAGCCACAGATGTTCACCCCTCCATGAAGCCAAGCTTCAGGAGCCCTGAGGACCAGAGTTTCATGCATGGACCCTGGGTCCTCAGCCAGTGAATGAAGGAAACACACCTCCAGGAGAATCAGTGTCTATGGTCCTGCATTCCAGGTGAACCAAGAGCTCACAGTGCTCAGTAACTTCCAAACTGGAAATCACATTTGTTACCAGTTCTGAGCTCTTTGAACTCAGACAACCTTCATTCCTAAGTGACTCAGACCCAAGTTGTGAATTCACAGAGTGCAGTGAGGATGAAGAATCCACTGGACAGATTAGAGGAAAACCTGCCCCAACAGGGAAAGGGCTCCTATGGATTCATGACGTCATGTCCCGCTGGTAAGATATAAGGTTGTGGAACTCTGAGTAAAGGCTCTGGTCCTTCCGTGATTCACACATTTTGTGCCTCTTTCTTGATTCTCAGGACCAGTGGAGACTGTCAGCCCATCACAAACCCAGTCACACTCCAAACCTGGTGAGCAAGAGAATTCTCAATCATGGAGCTAGATTCACAGGTGAAGCCCTCTTCAGGGAAGGTGGGTACCCTGGGTGGATATTCAGGAATCCTGGGGTGATTTTGGTCTCTTCTGACCTCTTTGTCACTAATTCCTAGCTTCAGTCCCTAAGATCACACAGTGGACATTCTCATCTGGATCGGCCTGGCTGACCTGGTCCTGGCGCTCCTTGGGGTTCCACACTTCCAGACTTGGCACAGCCAGAGAAGGATCCACATGCAGCCAGGAACTGAGCAAGTGAGAGAGCACTCACTGAGCTCTCACAGTGGTGGAGACTTGGAAATAAATATGTCTTCCTGGGGTGTGTTTTGGGTTTCATCATGTATGTGTGTTCACACCCATGTTCAACCTATTCAGCTCTGTGTTTCAGGATTTTCACAATGGCCAGCGTTCTCATGAGGGTTTGATCCCCACAACCACACACAGAGGAGAGAAGAACAGCGCGAGAGTTTCTGATAGGAATACAGTTATTAGCCTACAGTGAAACCACTGAACAGAGGCAGTCATACCACCATTACCAATGTAAAAGAAATCAGCACAAATACTAGAACCCAAAGTACACAGATATTGACATACCTTAAGAAAGAATAAAAGTTATAGCTATAGCCCTCTTATTCCTAGCAAAGAGAGCTACCATAGAAATACAGACACAGATACAAAGAGAAACCCATTTCTGACATTCAGCAAATATCTAGTCAATGAATCAACTCTAATATCATCAAAAGTAGAAAAGAATTCAGCAATAGGAGTCTAGAATCAACTGTACAGCTAAAAATTAATAATGCTGATCAATAATAAAAACAGATATGGAAGTGGTGGGGAAAAGAAAAACGGAAAGAAATAAAATTTGAAAATAATGAAAAGGGAGATGAGGAGAAGAGAAAGGTGAGATAAATATCCACTTGAAGAATAGAAGAAATTAGTAGAATTAAGGTAAAAGTAGCAGAAAAAAATAAATGAAAAATGAAAAGAAAAATGATTAAAAAAGAAGAAAACAAAGCAAAGCAGAGAAAAATCCCTAAAACCAAACAAAGAAAAAATCCAGAAAATTCCTCTTCATGTTTGGGAGGGTGGTTTCTTTCCAAGGCCTGTAGCTTGGAATACACCGGATGCTGGAGGAGCAGGGAGTCACAGCAAGAGCTTACTCTGTTCCTACCACTGCTTTCCTGTGTGTGCTGAGCCCTGCCCTGTACTTCCTACTGGGCAGTGTCCATCCATGAGTGGTGTCTGCTTTGATCACTGCACTTATTCTAGCAACACTGACTGTTTGTGGCCCTCTGTGCCCAAGTCACCGCTAGTTTCATGGCCTGTGGGCTTGTGAAACACCCTCGCTCCAGAGCTCTCTCTGTCCATTCACCCCCATGCTTGGCAACTGTCCACGCTGAAGCACATCCTCGATCACACTGGCATGTGGGGAACACAAACGGATCCCCAAGCGCTGAGCTTTCGTAGGCTCCAAGAGCTGGGATCCGGCAGTCTGCTGGACTTCATGCCAGCACTTTCGGACCCAACCTTCATAGAAAATCACAGGCAAACAGCCTGGCTCATCACCACAGACACAGATCACCAAGTCCTGCCTGACCTGAGCTCAGCACTGCTCCAACTTCTCAGGGAGTCTGTCCCTGTAAAGGCCTCTTCCGGCTGTCTCCCACCCAGCAGCTACGGCGGGGTGACCCAGAAACCCTGAATGTGACAACTCTTTCCTGGAATAGTTTAGTCCTAAGCAGTTAAGCTCATCCCTAAATGGCTCCTGATTAATCAGTCCCAAATATGGGAGAGGCTGCAATGGATTTCTTCTCCAACTCTAACCAGCCACATGGAGCACATCACGGTCAGAGTAGAACCCAACCCTGTATTTGCAGTTGACAATAACGACAGGATTTTCTTGGGGCTAGCATTGCCGGTTCAGTCCGTTGTTTCTCGCTGAAGCTCTTTCTGCCAGATTTATTTGTGCTGGCAAAGACAGGATCCCTTCTCAGGAGGTGGGGTTACTGTTTCAGACTGCTTTCTTCTTTTCTCTGCATTCTCTTCCTTTTTTCCAGTTTCTCTGTGATATATAGTTTTCTTTATTTGCTTTTCTTGATTCCCGTGGCTATTCTTCCTTTTTACTTCCCTAAGGCATTGTTTTCCAGGAGTCTGGCTTCCTGCTCTAGAGAGTCTGTGTTATGCTCCTGACCTTTAATCTCCCTTCTTCCAGTCTTTTCCTTGAGGCACTAACTTCTTTGAACAGAAATAAAGTGCACAAACTGTACGAACAAGGCCAGTAGGCTTCAACTTCAATAAAACATGTTGACAAAGGACATGAGTGACCTGGATGGGCCATTTGGACCCAGGTTATAGAAAAAGCTCTGAAGACATTGTCTACTTCTGAATCATCTCAGCACTTGTAGGCATTTAAATGTGCTTTGCACAACATGAGAGGTCCTCCTGCAAAAGTGTGGAAGGGGTGCAAAGGAGGAACCAAAGCCATCATTGGAAACAGGGAGAGCCTGGCTGGGTGCACGGACACCAATGCCCAGAAGGCAGACAGGAGGAGGAGTCGGGCAGAGCTGATGTGTTGGGGCCCAGGACCACACTGCCTGGGAAGGAGCTGAGGAGTCAAGGGAGGGGGCAGCAGTAACCACAAAGGGACACCTGTCATGGGTTTTACTCAAACAAATACAAACAACAGTTATGCATGTATATACCAGGCTGTCTTCAGAGCAGAATTTAAACTTCCACTATATGATCACAAAATGAAAACCTTCAATACACCATAAAAGGAAATTTCTCTCTCACTGCAGGGAAACCCCAGCCCCTCATTTGATATAAACATTTAATATAATATTTAAATATAATAAATATTAAATGAAGAAAATTAAAGACCGGTTTAACTTGAGATCCACACATTCACCAGATTTTGTCCAATTTCTTCATGAAGATATTTTTCCTTCATTACCACATTATTGATAAGACTTTGATGCCTTTGAAGGATAGAAGTTGATATTTTCCATACATCTACATTGTAACAAGTTGCCACAACCAAGCTGATTGACATACCCTATACCAACATACCTATACATACTATTTGTGTCCTACCTTTTCCTTTTTACTTTTTTCTGGTTTTGAAAATATGTACTTTTAACTTCTTTGCACTTTTCACATATGCAGTACCATTTGGTATCTACAGTAAACAGAAAAGCATGATGACCAAGCGGAAATTAAACCTGTCTAGTGCTGTCAAACATGAAAACCTTCAATGGACTGACATTGTTAAAGTGCTCTTCATAGGAATAAGAATTGTTCATAAAACGAGAGAAATAAAATTCTATGTTAGCCTCTGAGAACTTAAATGTACCATGATTTTCTCTAAAAAAATGAAACCCTGCCAAATACCACCAAATTCATGAAAATATTATGAATTCGTAGAAGGTATTTTACTCATTTTACTTATATCATATGTGAAGTAAAATGGACAGAAAATAGTTCATTTTCAAAGATTTTAAAGTAATGGTTGAACTTCGAATTATGAGAAGGACAAAGTAACCAGGGCTGGAAGAGTGTGGAAGAAGGGCTGGAAATGTACGAATCAGTAAAAGTAGTGACCACGGATAGAACGGAAATGGAAGACAGATGAGTAACATGATCCTCTAATAACCGCAATCTTTGAAGGAGATGCGTGTAGTGAATAAAGCACATTTATTTGATTAGTCGTCAATATTGGGATATTGATCACTATGTGCATGTGGCCGGGGAATGCTGCTTTAGAAGCACAATCACATCTGCATCTCCCAAGGGCAGGGAGGACATAGCAACATCTCCCTGTGGCTCCGGGGCAGCAGTGCGGGGTGTGCAGTGTGCACACGTTGGGATTGTCGGGCAGTGGGTTCGGGGCGGCCTTGGTTAGAGATGCTGCACCTGGGCCTCATCTGAAAGTTTCCCTCACGCCTCCCTCACTGTGCGAGGTGAGAAGGAGCTGGTCAGCCTCCTGTGTGGGCAGCAAGCAGTGAGCTTTGCAGAGTGTGACCTGGGGCTGTGACAATCACATTCTCTTTGTGTTCTGACTTTTCTCAGTTCCTGCATCCTGTCTTGCAGAACCAAAGGGCTTTCCAGCTGCAGAGTCTGAGACAAGCCTCTGTAAGAGAATTGTTATAAGTAAATTCCACATTTGTGTTCTGTTGCTTGAATCTGGAGGGTTTCAGCCTATTCTCCCATACGTACAGTATTATTAATAAGGAAATTTCAGGAGAAACTGCCTCAGGTTCAATCAGCACTCTAAGAGAAATCGCTGTTCTGGGAGACCTGCTGTGTTCATGCTGGGGTGAGCTTCACATTGCCCAAACACAGGCGCCCTGGACATAGGGAGGCTCTGGGATGGGGGAGACCTCGCAGGTATGTAAGTGAAGAAACCACTGATAGCCCTGAGGGGAGAACGGCTCCACACTCCCTCTCTAAGCCCAGTCTCCTGCTCTTCCACGAGGTCACGACAATCTTTCCACCAGCTTGGCTACGCCCTGTTTCCCCTAGGGGCGATGTGATTCTGTGCTCAGCCATGCTCAAAAAACATGGGACCCTCACCTCTGAGCTTCACAGTGGATTTTTAAACAGCAAACTCACTGAGAGCTGATCTCTGACACTAAACCCGAAGAGACCCCATGATGGATTGGAGAGGAGCTCCCCGCGCAGACAACCTCCTTACAGCTATCAACCCAGGCACATCCCATGGTCCTGCCTTCACGGGTACAGCCTTGGGCTCTTATCCCTCCCCTTCCTCCTGTCAGGACCATGCAGTCTAAGGCACACGGAAGGTGATAAAGACATGAGACCACAGACCTTTCCCAGCAGGGTTCACACCACTGCTCTGTGTACCCAGGACTGTGAGCTGAGGTCAGGCCTGCAGAGAACTCAGCACCCACCAAGCTCACAGGAGGGCCAGGCTGCCCCTGGACCCTGAGCTCACAGAGCAGCTCGGGCAAGGACCTCGCCTCTCCAGGGCAGGTTTCTATAGGATGGTGCTTGTCCTTCCCAAGGTGGAACCAGCAGAATCTGCAGAGGGTGGGATTGTGTTTAACTCTCCAGAGTCCCTTAGTGATACCCAGCCTCCTTTAGTGACATTAGACGTGTTAGGATGTAAGCCACACTCGAGTTCTCACTGCTGGTGACTAAATATTCTGAAAGTCTCCTGAAATAATCCTGAAGTGCTTGATGCCGATGGCCAGCCCACTCTTTCTTGAAATTATGCAATGAAAATTTGCAGTGATAAAGTGTATTCTGTATCTGATCTACCTAACAGGCCAGTGCCTAGCGGTGGATGTCACATTAAAATTAGAATAAATGAATAAAAGCTAAAATTCAACTCACTGCCCACAACTGCCACAAGTCAGGAGCTCATAGGCAATATGGAATTCGAGGCTGCGATGTAGAAAAGCAGGAATTCAGCCCTTTTTTTGCAGGAACTTCTCTTCTGCTCCTGGTCAATGGTGGGAATGCAGAATCACAGGTCCATTTTGACACGGAGCTGGATCTCATGCAAGAGACTCACAGGCTGTAACGTTGACATGGATGGCAAGATGACTTTGTCTGCTGGTGTCAGGTAACAAGCAGAATCCCTCCTGCCATGTCTCATGACCTGCCACCCTCCCGGAAAGTGCTGGTGCAGAGACTTTGCCCAAGCACTGAGACTGTGAACCTGTCCTCGAGCCCAGCGTCCTGTGGACAGGGAGCCACGGCCGCTCTCTGCACACCACATGCTATGGAAGCAGTTTCTGCTGACCGGCCCAGGGCACCTTCATCCCTCTTCTTCCCTGAAATCAGCATCTGTGCAGAACAAGCCCTAGCCCGCTACTCTGAACTAAGGGTTCCCTAGCTGCTGGAATTAGCACGTGGTGTTCCTTCACATGGAATTCCCGTATTTCGGGGGCAGCTCAGGGTGGACACGCAGTGTCACACAAGCACCCTCATCTCTCAGCCTCAGTTAGGAGGTCTGTGGACCCCACAGTGTCAGTGGCATGCAGTGCACAATTCACTGTTAGTACCTGATCTCCCTGGACTCTCAGGTCTGGAACATCAGTGCTCTGAGACCAACGTGATTCCTGTTCACTTCTCTGAGCCAGGCGTCCTCCATGACTCCTGTCCACAGGAAGTTTTATCAACATGTACCTGAGGAATTGTACTGATATCCAACTCCCCAACAGGAAGACTGTCCGAATCCCAGGATCCTCTAATGTGACCGGGTCGCTCTCTGTGTCCCTGGGGCAGTAGGGGGACGCCACTTCCTCTGCTGGCTGAGGTCGGGGCTGAGGGGCACACCGCTCAGTGGGCGGAGAGGTTCCACAGACACCAAGAGCCTGGTGCGTGCAGGACCCACCCACGCTGCAGGACACACAGCCCGTGCTGCAGCGGGACGGGGTGAGGAGGTACAGACAGACGGCCACACCCTTTCTCTCCCGGGCACTGCGTGCAGCCAGGCCTGTGCAGCTCACCTGGTGTTAACAGGAAGCCGCACCAGCAGCAAATCCTCTTAGCTTTGTGGTATAACACAACCTACCTGTCAGAGTTACAGACTGTGGGTTTTCTTTTTCAAGGGTGATTAAAAACAAATTACAAATCGGGTCTTAAATAAACTTTTCATATTTTTGTGCTCCACATTTCCACAATGTACTCAAATGTGGCTGCAAACCAAAACCTGTTAACCAATTTCCCACCAGTAGAAGTTTTGTAACTGTTCTCTTCCACCCTTTAAGCAACGATCTCCTGACCCTAAAATACAGTGGTAAGAACTATTTGGGAAGGGAATTCTCTTCACAGCCTCTTTCAGTGTTGTCTGTAGGTTCTTTTCCCTGAGATTCCCAATGCATTCTTTTGATCCCATATGAGTTTTTTCTTAGTATTTCTGGAGTACTTTAAATTCTCAGGAGACACAAGATGTTTAAATTTTAGTTTGGCAAAAAGACAACAGTTCCCCAAACTATTGAACAAGCTGCCTTTAACCCACTTCCCGAGACAGTCCTTGTTTCCATCTGAAGCCTCGTGAGCACAGCACTCACTGTCTGCATTTCTGTCAGCGTCTGATGCTCTAAGCTCTCACCAGCATCCCAGGTAAACTCCCCAGCAGGCTCCAGGCTGCTCCTGCCCGCTGCTCCCCACTTTTCCAAATTCCACTCCTAGACCAGTTCCAGAGCCCCGCCCAGTGGCGCCCATAGCTCACGTGACTGGGGGCTATTCCTGATCCCTCCACACAGTGAAGCCGCTCCCATTTCATGTTCAACTGCTGCTTCCCCGTGCTCTGCTCACACTGCTCTGTGTTGCAGGACAGGTCTGCTAGGGCCTTCAGGTAGCACTGGACCGTGTGGAACACGGGGACCATGGCCCAGCTCTGTCCTTACACTTCCTGGCGTGAGGACACCGAGCCTCCTGTCGGGGAGCAGTCAGCATGCACACCTCACTGCCTCACAGGGTCTCACAGTCACCAGCTCCTGTGAGCTCTACCCACTGTCCCGGTGAGCAGAGGCTATTCGCACTCCGAGGACAGTGACCCTGCCTGGGGCAGCTCAGAGGGAGCCTCACTGCTCCGCGTTCTCTCAGCGCTGTTACCTTTCACGGTGCTTTCTTCACGCAGGACAAGGACGTGCTCACAACCCCCCAGGCCCTGTGACTTGGAGAGTGTTTTTCTCTATGCTGTATTGACTCCTGCAGCCTTCTCTTTCTCCATAGGTCCAACACAGGCCTCTGGGCAGGCTGAGCATCTCTACCCCAGGTCAAGCCCTTAGCCCTGGAGGGAGCACATGAGGGAACAGCAGGAGCAGCCACTTTCCCTGGATGTGCACACCCCCGCCTGTCACTGTCACCCAACACAGGGAGCACTCTGACGGTAAAGCACACAGGGAAGGAAAGACCTACACGTGGGGCACGGCCTGCCACCGCCTATTCATGCCGGGCTGCACGCTCTTCAGCCACAGCCAGGGCCCCCAGAGCAGGGAAGCCCAGCAGAGTTCTCAGCCCCATAACACAGGGTGTGAACAGCTGCGGTGACTTTCTCTGGAGCAGGTGACAGGAGTCATCCCTCAAATTCCTAAAGGAAAAATATGAAAATGAGAACTGGGAATCAGAGCACAGGAAGGAGCGCATATTTACTTCAGCTGCTAGATCAGTCAGTGTGCTGTTACTGTAGGGAAATACTCGAGACAGTGGCGTAGAAAGAGGAAACACTGACATGGGCAGAGGTCCCTCCACACACCCCCCCCCCCCGTTCCTGCACAACGAGCCATCAGACGCTGGGTCTCCATGCAAGGTCTCCTTCTCAGAATGCAGCCATGTACACCTCTAGACCAGGAGGTATTTCTGCAGTCTAGGAAAACTCTCTTAAGTAAACACTCATTTGAAAATGGCCCAGGAGTGACCCTCCAGGGAGGCTCTCAGGAAATGAGTGTCCTGGTTGGAGTCCAGCTTCTGAGGCCATCAAGGACAGAACCCAGGTCCTTCCTTTAGTGACTGGGGCTCTTGCTATGTGGAAAGGTCTGGGACCAAGGGAGAGCTCAGACCTGGGCTGAGATTTCTCCAGGGAGCTTCGGATCCTGAGCTTGCAGAAGCCAGATTCCAATGCTGGGAGGGGCTGTGCCTTTTTGGTGGGTCCACAGAGGCGGGGACCCTGAGGCGGTGCTGTCTCCAACTTTCCACTTCCGTTCATCTGCGCGTCCTGCAGCGCTGAGGTCTCCTCTCTCAGAGCGGGAGCAGTCAGAGTAGGCGACATGAAGCCTACCGTGC